CCACATTAAACTGGACTCAATGTCTGTATAGGTGCTAGAGACTGATTGTCTACTATAGGACATACGCTACATACCTAATGTACATCATGGTTGAACATTGACATCAACTCTAAAGAGAAGAACAGCTTAATTCAAAACAATATATTGCATTCAATATACTGTAATTGAAACCTGGGCAGAATTAGGAAATAGATGTTCTCAGTTTCAAAGCAACTAATTTTATTCAGCTTTTCTAACAAGCAGTTAGAATAATACGAGTCTGCCAACATAACCACAGATCTGCAGCAGCCAATCAAAACAGAATCTGTTCTTTTGTCTATGTGGTTTTGAAGGGCTCTCTGCCCGAGCCTCATCATGCAACTAATTCAGATGTAACCCCACTTTCAGCCACACAGACAATGGCTATTGAGACGAGCTGGGTGCTGATAGGGCTGTCGAGAGTCAGTCTAGATGAAATGAACACACGCAGACGGGCACACAAGTGCACATATGCTGTAGCCACACACCGTCATATAAAGGGCTATAAATAAATACAGTGAAAAGAAGATGTAGCAATATTTAAGTCTGATTTTTGCATCTATTGTACTGTATCATATACAAGCTTCTCTTTGTATTAGCCTTCCAGTTTAAATTGTAAATAGGCCTTTAGGTGGATCAGTCACAAAATGTAAGGCTTAAGCGTCTGACTATCAATCTCAGGACATCACAGAGCCATTGAATATGAAGTATATTGCTAATGAAAACTGGTAAAAGCTGCACACAAAATGGGCAAAATAAAATTTTTAAGTACATGTGTTATTCAGCAGTGGTCACATGAAAAAAAAGTATTGTAATGATACTGGGCAACAGGAGAGAATAATAAACTATTCAATCATTAAATCACTGGCTCCTGTTTCTTTTTGTAGCACACAAACCTATATTATACCTGTTTTATCTTAATACAAGTAAAAGAACAGTGACCTCTACACCCATTGTCATATTGAAGGACAAGTTAATGACTTCATTCACCTGTCTGCTCTCCAGCTGTTGGCTTTGTCTCCACCGCTCCCTTCTCCTCTGCCCCCTTCTCCTGTTCTTCTCTTTTTTACTCATCCTCTTCTCCCCAAAAGGAACACAAGGCGGCACCACTGCCAGGGTCATGGTTTGACTCATCACCTCCATCACACCACTGCCTCCATTTTCACTATCTTCCATGTCCTGCTCTTCCTCCTCCTCCTCCTCCTTCCACTCTTCTTCTACTCCTAACTCTGAGCTGGTAAGACATGTAATGTGTTTCTGAGGATGATGGCTTTGTGGCGATTGTCCAGCGGTTGCCCCTGTTCTCACCTTCACCCAAAAGGGATCTGGCTCTCTATATGAACTAAATGGGCAGCAGAGCAGGTCTCCTTCAGCTGTCCTGAATGAGAGTCTCTGATGTGACAGAGGCATGGATCGGGTTTGGATGGGAGAGGGAGGGAGAGCGGACGTTTTGGACCTCAGAGCTGGTGGAGGGGACTGGGCACTAGGACACTCGTGTCCTCTCTGCAAGTTGTTTGATCCTTCAACTTCCAAAGAGCTTTTTAACTGGATATCAGAATTACTGCTGGACAGTCTTTCAGTGCTTCCTCTTCCTGGTCTCTCCTGTACTTCATCTCCATGTGTCTCAACTAGTCCAGGCTTTCTCTGCCTTTGTTTTCTTTTTTCCATGTTTCCTACATGTTCAGCTTTTCGTCTCTTCCCATCCCTTTCTTGGTTTCTTTCTCTCCATCTTCTTCTGTTGTCCTCACCGTAGGTCTTTTTCCGTGCTTCCCTCCCTAGCGAGGCTGGTCTCACCAGCTGTTCCACACTGCTCGACCTCCCCTCTCCAGCTGGATTTACACTTTCCAGCCTAGGTCTTGCTATATTTAGGCATGGGGTGTAAATCTTGTTGTTACTGTTTTCCTTGCCAGGATCCTGAGTTCCACAACCACCAATTCTGCTGGAGCCATTTACACAAGTTGCTCCCAAACAAAAGCTCATGATGGTGCTTTTGAGGCCCACAGTAGCCAGCCACATGCATCTGCCAGCTAGCCTGGTCCGTGACCTGCCATCCTTACCTCTGTGTTCTTTTTGCCTCCCACTTCTTCTGGATGCATAAATTCAATCTCTTTTAAAGAGGGATTGTTCCAGTGGAGAGCAGGGGAGCAGTTCAATCATCTGGCCTGGCCTATCCTGTCCCTGGAAGCCCCCTGGGACATTCCACACCATTGACAAAGTCCTGCTGGTGTGCCCCATTACAATAGGTGCACTGTTCATGGCCTCACTATTGCTTTGTGTGTGTCCTATAGGAAACACAACTCTATGTGGCCACTGTACACAAACATAAGGTGAAAAGGCCAGAGTGGCCTTTTGTCCCACCTTTAGTGTCAGCTTTTTTCACTCTCGGGTTGATAAGCAAAGCACAGAGTGAGAGGTTGTGTGTGTGTGTGTGTGTGTGCGCGCATACTTGCCATAAAAATAACTCCTCAGACTTTTTTTTGATTTGATGTCTCATTTTTATCTTCAGCTGGTGCATCATTGTGAAAGAGCACTGAAGAAACTTGTAGATGTCAAGAAATTGGGTTTAAATCTTAATGTGCTAGTTAGACGGGTCAATAATGAACCATGGATTATTTCAACCTTTAATTCTATACTTTCAAAAATGTTTATCTAGAAAATACTAAAAGCACCATAGACAAAGTATCACTGAAATTCAACCTCGTTGATTCAGGTATTAATAAATAAAAATAAGAAACCTTGTTCTACAAAGAGCAGCATGTCATCTTTGATAATTAATTGACCTGGTTTTAGGAACCTTAGGGTCTGTTGCTACAGTGCAATGATTTTTTGTTAAGTATTTATATGGGTCACCATTTAAAGAGAACAATTAGTGATAATTTATTTAGGAAATTTGGAATTTGGATGAGTCACATTATCAACATTTGGAGTCAAATTCAAGAAAAGACAAATTGTTAAAACCATCTGATTTTGACATGAATCAATCCCAGTGCTGCTGTGACATACACCTTTTATTCCTGTTATACAATATATACTGTAGGTTTGTGTTCCTCACTTTTAAAACTACAGCCAGACTTGTCCTGTTTCAACAGTGGACAGCAGCATATTATAATGGTCCAATACAGTCACTGGTGTTAATCAATCACTCTGGGCTTTTACTCTGCAGGTGTGCATAAGAAGTAGTTGCTGATGCAGGTGCATATGCTGTTCGCATCACAATAGCTCACATGAAAATGGTCTGAGTCGGATCCATCAATCACACCTAGTTTGGATTTTCTCTCAAACTGCAGAAATACACAAAAGCAAGACTTCAAGCAGAGATATTAAAAATATAAAGATGTGAACTGCATGTTAATCTAGACTAAGGATAGTGTCCCACTTGTATACAGATCTGAGCTTAACGTTTTGTTTTTATTCCAGAACGAGGCCCAAAGTCAGCACCCTAGGCTCTAGTGTCCTTAAGCTAGGAAATTACACTGCTTGTTTCTAAAACACATTTTCTTCAGTGTGCTTTTTATGTAATGTACAGTAACTTTTCTCATGTATTTTTAGGTCAGCTACTATTTGTTAATTTCTATAGTCATGCTGTCATTTTGTTTTTAATTTGAGCATTTGCATTTTTAGTTTAGATTTCAATTTGTTTCATACTTCTTTTTTTAAATGCGCATTTCACAGCACCCCTTTCTCCTTTTAATATGCATTTCTCTTCTGACAGCTTTTCTTTATATCTTTTCATTACAGTGCAGTTATCCAGAGTTCTGAATTACAACAGGCTAACTAATTTAACAGAAATCTCACAACCCTTCCTTCCCTCTTCAACCATTTCACCATCTCCCTCGGAAGCCTAATCCCTCCCTGTTTCCTCATCCTTACACTCTCTTGCTTTGTCCTGAACTCAAGCTACTGATAGAACAGTGACCATCATCTGGTGCAGTACCTGCCGTGGACGGCAGATGGCAGCAGCTCTCCTCTCTGGACTGTCGTGGTTCTGGTGCTGTCCCTGGTCCTGAAACTACCTTTCGCTCAGCGCTCTGGATAAATGACCTTTCTCTCCATTCAGGTTCTAAACACAGTGTCGCGCAAGTAAACACTCCGCCTGTAAATGTTACTTGGTTCCTCTTTGAGCTTTTTTTTTGCCTGATGAAAAGATCTCTTCAGATGAAGTTGGATTAAACAAAAACTCAATTTTGAAGTGATGAAACATTATGATATTTACTCGGATAATCTTTCTACCTCGAGTAGCTCGCTCACAGATTTTTTTTTCTTTTTTAGCCATCTTGCCATTTTTGCTAAAAATCGGTTTATAAGTATTAGTCCTGGCTGACAGCAACCCTGAGAGATAAACTAAAAAAATAATCCATAAAATGCTGCAGCCTGCTCACTGGGTCCAAAGGGTAAAATAAAGAAGACAGAAACAGACAGGAGAGCTGTGCATCATCATCGGCTGTCTGCAGTGGAAAACGGACCAACACCAAGAGCAGAGACACAAAAACTCCAGGACGACCTCCTCGCGGTCTGACGTACCCAAAGCTGCTGGTATAAAAGAATTCACGGCGTCACCAAGCACAGATGATTCGCAGTAGCAGTGAGCGCACCCGGCTGTCAACATTTATGGGCAACACACACACACACACACACACACACACACACACACCCACACACACACACAAGCACGTCTGCGTCATGCGTCCTGAAAGCGATGGCACGAGCTCGGTAACTCCTGTGGACCCCGGGAAAACACACAACAGTAACAATTTGAGGGGCTGACTGTGTCCAGCTTATCTGTACAGTTGCGTGTCCCCCCAATGCTCTGGGAAATCTGCGCTCTGAGCGTAATCCCATAATGGATTTTAAAACAAGCAGCAACTACAGCAACGCGACCAGCGGTTACCCTAGTGGGGTGAACGTGGTTGCCGACTGGGACGAGGGTGAGAACGGTACGGGATCTGGGTCTGTGCCAGATCTGAAGCTGAGTTACCAGATTATCACTTCTTTGCTCCTGGGGTCCCTCATCCTATGCTCCATATTTGGCAATGCGTGCGTCGTGGCAGCCATCGCCCTGGAGAGATCTCTCCAGAATGTGGCGAACTATCTGATCGGCTCCTTGGCCGTGACAGACCTCATGGTGTCGGTGCTGGTTCTGCCAATGGCGGCCCTTTATCAAGTTTTGAATAAGTGGACGCTGGGGCAGGAGATCTGTGATTTATTCATCTCCCTGGATGTACTGTGTTGCACATCATCCATCCTACATCTGTGCGCAATTGCCTTGGACAGGTACTGGGCCATAACAGACCCTATTGATTATGTAAATAAACGGACACCAAGGAGAGCTGCGCTCTTGATTAGCGTCACCTGGCTAATCGGTTTCTCGATCTCTATTCCGCCTATGTTAGGCTGGAGAAGCGCCGAAGACAGGGCGAAACCCGACGCCTGCATCATCAGCCAGGATCTGGGTTACACCATCTACTCCACATTTGGGGCTTTTTACATCCCTCTTATCCTCATGTTGGTCCTGTACGGGCGAATATTCAGGGCTGCTCGGTTTCGGATTCGAAAGACAGTCAAGAAATCCGAGACAGCAAAAGTGTCAGACAAGTGCCTGTCTGTGTCTCCGGTCATCTTCCACAAGAAAACCAACGGCGAGGCCGGGGGCAGAGGCTGGATGCGTTGCGATGAGTCTAAACCCAGCTCTCCATGCATAAATGGCGCGGTGAAGCATGGAGATGAGGGCGAGTCATTGGAGATAATAGAAGTTAGCAGCAATTCAAAGACGCACCTGCCTCTGCCCAACACACCTCAGTCCTCCTCACAGGGCTACGAAAACATGAATGAAAAGAACTCCGGGACGAAGAGAAAGATCGCGCTGGCCAGAGAACGTAAAACGGTGAAAACACTAGGGATCATCATGGGCACTTTCATCTTCTGCTGGCTGCCCTTCTTCATCGTCGCACTGGTGTTGCCTTTCTGTGCACAGAGCTGTTACATGCCTGACTGGCTGGGCGCAGTCATAAACTGGCTGGGCTACTCCAACTCTCTCCTCAACCCCATAATATATGCCTACTTCAACAAAGACTTCCAAAGTGCTTTTAAGAAGATAATAAAATGCAAATTCCACAGACCGTAACCACACACACAGTGAACGCGTGTTTTTACCTTAACGTGGAGTATCTAATGGACTGTATGGAACAGCAAAAAATAACATGGACTTGCATTCAGGGACAGTCTCTTTTTGGTGTGTGTTGGAGGACCGTATGAAAAGAAAATCCGGGGTCACTGGCCGCCGACGAAACAAGACAAGACGGGAACTTTCGCTCTTAATGTACAAGCTCATGTGTGTTCAGTGTTGTAGCTACAGTGTATAGTTTATATTCGACGATAGCCATCATTGTATTGCCATGCAAGATCTGTGCTGATTCTATGCGTTGTATCATGAGACTTGCGGAGTTTACATCCTACGCAATGAGCTTTGTAGCATCGAAGTAAAAAAAAATGGATCAAAGTTTGTCATTAGGAAATACGAGTTCATTGTTAGTAAAGAAAATCAAAAACGAATGGGCTAAAAAGAGAGAACTAGGTTTATAATGAAAAATCCTAATCTCACCTGGGACATGTCATTTACTGTGTTGTTGAGCAAAGTACTGAGCTACTTATCAATTTACCGTGACAGACCACATGATGGGGGCGATCGGGTAATCAGTGCATGGTGTTTCCGAGGTCTTACAAAAAAATGGGTATCGAACAAACCCCAGTGTCTATCCATCAAACCCATATAAAAGTTGAGAGCAAGCAGAGATGGGCAATTTTTCCCAAAATGGAGGCTGGTATTACATTTATGATATATGTTCTCATTCACTCTCCCTCCCCCTCTCTTCTTACTCCAGACCTACCCCCAACCCATCTCTCTATTTCTGACTCCCAGACTGTGTGTGCGTGTGTGTAAACAGCAACAAACTGTGAAATAAAGATTGCTTGAGACAAAAATGAAAGAGGAGCATCAAAAAAATTTTGAGCTGTTATTAATCTCAAGAAAACCATTAAGTTCAGTGCACATGGGCTGCTCAGATAAAAAGATCACATAATACAAAGTTTTGCACTGTTGAAGTGCTCTCATCTATCGAATAAATCCCAAACACAAATCCACTGTTGGACATTAAAAAGGAGGAAAACTTACTTTAAGGATGAAGCCCCAGTGAGGCCTGCATGCTTCACAAGATGGGGGGGGACTAGCCAGCTTGTTGTCATGGCAACGCAGGAAGCCCAAGACATCATGGGTTGATAACAGTCAAGTTATATGAGAAGTGAGCAAATCCTTAAAGTGTGTCTTTAAATATTTATTAACATGCAGGTTCAAAACTGTTTGGGTCCAAGACTCAAAGACAAACAGTACTGAGGTTAATGTTCCACTCACTAGATGTTTTTTGTTCAGCCACATCTTTGCTCTACTGTGATGGAGGATGAGGAAGCATTTATAAATAAATACATTTGTCATCATAAATATACTTGTAAAATCACTTAATTGATGAATACTAAATTAATATAGTCATTGTTATACAATACAGTAATTAAGGTCTTTATATAGATTTTTCATGTAAAGTAAAAAACATAGCTTATATAATTACAATTAATTGATTATTACATGTTAATGCATCAGTTATGGATGCTTAACTTGAAAATGTATAATTGTTGACAGTATACTTGAGCACTTAAAATGTCCTTTAACTCCAAAAAACTACCATATAGCGTGGTATAAGCCATTTAATAGAGTAATTACATGATTGATAAAAAGAACTTTTCCCTCCATAGGTAAGTTCACTCTCTGATTCGCCTCTGCCTGATGTGATGGATCTGCACGATCGATCAACGGCAGAATTTTGCTGCAACTGTTTTGATATAAGCCTTCTTTCCTTTCAGCTTCTCAAATGTGAGGATTTGTTGCTTTTCTCTGTCACTTTCAGTAGGATACTAAACTACTTTGTCTTTGAGACTGATGATCAGGTAAAAGCAGCAATTTCCAATCACATTTGACTTTTATTTATTTATTTATTTTTACAAAATAACGAAAAAAGAAAATAATCAGCAGAAAATAAAAGACACCGTTAGTTGCAGCCTTAATGTAGACATGCAGTGACAAAGTACATACTTTTCTTGCCATCATGAAAGCTTAAAAAAAAAACATAATAAATTATAAAAAGTTTAAAACTGTGTGTGCTTTCCTTTCTCGCCCTGATCAGTTTTGCTCTGTGGTGCATCCATGCAACATCAGTGCATTTAAAATGCTTTTGGGGAATTTTATCTCATACCTGAGTCCTGTAGGTCAAGTTCTGGGCTTATGGGCTCAGAAAGGCCCATAGACAATGTGGTGTGAGCTGCCAGGCTAGGTAGAGTATGTTTCTCAGTTGTGAGTCACACTGTGTAAGATCATTACATTTTGGCCCTGATATATGGGATTACAAAGCAGCTGACCTGCTTTGAACTGTGCCGTAATATCAAATGTTTGGATAGTAGGACTGCTTTAATCCCACTCACTCTGGGATTCTTAAATGTAATATGTGGAGGCGGTTGCAGTGTGATGATGCAGAAGCTTTTTCTTCAACCCAGCAACAGAGGAGGATTATATAAACTGGTACCACTAACAAGGGGATTACAGGGTTTATTACAGTGTTCCACTGCCCCCCGGCCTAAAACTGGGAGAAACAAACTCTGCCTACATATAGTTGGTTGTTATTGGTCCAATAGTAGCCTTTTAAGGATAAGGATAAGGATAATCACCTTTATTGGCCAAGTACATTACACACAAGGAATTTGTTTCCGGTACAGAACCGAGGCAGCCATCTGTGGCGCCAACTCGACCGATGGCTCTAACCATTGGACTCAATGGGGGGGTTCAGTGTCTTGCCCAAGGACACTTAGGCATGTGCACCAAGATTCGAACCTTCAACCTTCTAGTTGGGAGAAGGTTCGAATCTCGGTGAGGATGAACAGTAAGGTCAAGGTTTTTTCCATTAAAACGTGGACATGGTTACAAATGTTATACGACACTAATCATTTCTAAAATTTTTAATTTGTTTGCATTGTCATTTGTTCTGTCTAAGCAGTGTACGACTCTACAAAGAATCAATCTCAAACATCCATTTCTCCTTATATGCAATACTGGCATTATGGCTTTTTATTTATGCAAGTTTATTCTTCTCAAAATGATCCTATAAAATTCACAAAGTGACATAAATGTTAATGTTGTAGTTTGCACTGATGACATGTTTGCTTCTACAGGCACTGAGCACAAAAAATGAATGTGTCTGAATGGTTTGGAGAGAAGTTTGGGTCTGTGTGGTTGTCTGTCTCTAAGTGTCAGCCCTGACAGACTGGATACCTGTCCAGGGTGTACCCCCGCCTCTTGCCCAGTGTCAGCTGGGATTGGCTCCAGCCACCCCCAGTGACCCTGTTCAGGATAAGTGGTATAGATAATGGATGGATGGAAGGCATTTAAGTTGAAGAAATGAATAAACAAGCTGAAAGTAACATAAAAGCAAACAGTGAAAACACTGTGTAATAAAAAAATAAAAGAGAATATTTGAAGTGAAAATAGACAAAGACAAGGAGAAAGCACGAGAGATGTACAGTATATTACTATATGAACAATCAGCAGAACACATGTTTCTGCTTCACCCACTCCTACTTCATCTGTCAGCAGTTGTTCTGAGATTTCACAACCCACAGCCCATGACACGCCGGGGGTTGTCTCTCGCTGCCCAAGCCTGAAGAGAAAGGCAGGAAGGGAACAGCCCCAGGAAACTGCTCCTGAGGTGGAGAAAGGAGAGTTTGGGTTTTCAGATATGGTCTTTTCCTTTACGACAGACGCTAGTTTACCTTATTTGGAAACATTTCCGTTTCACAGATAGTCCAAAGGTTTACAGTATAATTATGATTGCCTCTTTTCCTCTCGCACACACAAGCTTATTACTGTGATGTAGGGCAAGCATAAAGTGTTCAAGGACAACAGTGAACCGAAAAATAACTAGAGTAAACAATTTCTAACGCTTTACACCTTTTTCACAAACTATTCAAAAACATAAGAGTGATGAAGAGTCATGCTCCAGTGCCCACTGCTATTAGTACTACAGCCAGTGAGGAACACTTCACCTCAGGTTTAGAGATGTGAAAGCACTCGTCAGCATCTCCCTCAACAAGACACAAACATTCACTGCTGCTTAAACTCCTTTTTCGCAGAAGGTCTCTCTGTGCTTTATAATAAGTGCAGGCTAAAACTGATGATATAAGGTCTGTGGAAAGACAGAGTGACAATTTTCTCTTCAAGGAGAAAATTGTCTCACAGTCGGGTGAAACATTGAACCCACACAGGCCTAAATGTTAAAAACATAAAGCATACAAAACGATATATACTGTAATAATAATAAAAAATACATCAAATAAATGCTAAAGCCCACCATGCAAGCACATGTAAAGCAATGTGCATCCAGTAAAAGCACAACATAAAATATGGAGTTCATCCAATCATCACCACTCAGATGTTTATATCATCAACATTAACACTTGGATGGCAGACAAATGCAATTATATCCCCCCAGTGGTAGACCTGGTATTCCCCATCCAGATGGGAGCATCTCAGACTCTCCTTTCAGAGCATAACTCAAGTATTTAAATTGCTCTTTTGCCAAAAAAAGTTTATTGCCTCCACTGTGAAGTGTTGGGTGGCTGCTTTTTAGATCAACTTTTTGTGAAATCATCCGTCTCTGCTTGCAAGCACATTTCGACCTCCGACACAGGTTTATTGCTCACCATTAACTTGTCGCCTCTCTGTTACAAATTGCATTTATATACTACTAATTGGGTTGTCTAGACCCGGTCCCGATATGAGCAACAGTGTGAAGCTGGAGTGGGCCAAGAAAGCAACTGAGAAACCCGTCAAGCAAATACAGCCTCATACATCATCATCAGTATCTGGATAAAACAATCTTAAAATCACCACCAACATTTACATTAGAATATGTGATTATACCAATAAAGACTCTAAGCTCAGTGGAATAAACTAATTTGCCCATATGAACAGCCCACCTTTTGTATTTCGAGAGAAATTTAAAGGGTTCTCTGTTCTCAAACTCACTAAACTTTAGGTTTTGGGCTCAATATACAGTAACTGCATCTCAAGGCATTTCTCAGCTACTATCAAGACATGGCTGACAGGGTGCTCTGACTAAACCTACTGTATTATTTATTGAATTTTAGAAGTAAAGCCAATTCCAGAAGCCAGCTATCATTATGACAAACAAAACAAAAATGCTGGCAGGGTAACATCTTTACTCACATCATATTACTTCACAAACGGAATCAGAATGGCTAATGGTACATATGTAGTTAAAGGGTACAACAAACAAGACTGTCACAGTGCACTAAGCTACAACAATCATCACTGACAGTACTACATACCTTGGGATGCATTAAACTTTCTGTAGTCACAGAGAAATCAATAGCTTGTCTTTCCTGATTTGTACTAAACCAGGTGCTGTAAAACGTCACACACACACACACACATGTACTTCGATCTTGGTGAGGACACTCACTGATGTAAGTTCCTTACCCTAACAGTAACTATCAGAACTAAATGCTTAACCCTAACCTAAGCCTAACCTGAACCCTAAAACCAAATCTTAACCCAGGCTGGAGCACAGACTCAGAAAGGGGTGGCACATTTGAAATAAATGTAAAAGGTAAATGAATCCTCTAATTCTATGAAACAATAAACCATATTATCAATATATGAAACTGTTTATTTTGTGTAAAATGAGACCCACATCATGCTTTCTTTGAGTTAACTATGGCCAGGGACATCACTGCTGCACAGTGGTCCCCCCCACCCCGCACTCCTTCCCACAACAGTATAATCAGAGAAGTGAATGCAACTATCATGCTGTGTGCATGAGATAAAATAAAACTAATTTGACCGATATCAATTATAAAGCACCAGCAAAATGTTATATGTACTTAAGGCAACATTAATCAATGTTTCTTCAGCCCCCGATTTTCGACAACCCCATAGTTCACCATGATAGATTATGAGCACAAACTCTAGATGCAGTTTGGCTTTTCATAAATGTAAAAACGCAATTAGGGTCTACCCATCCAATATTTACTTCATTATCACCTAGATTTTCAATCTTGTGGTCGAAGATAACTAAATTAACTGAAGATGCCAGCATGGATTTTAATTTGGACCTTACTGCCTCTGGCACCTTGTTGATGGTGTGGTAGACGGAGCCAGAGAGAGAGAGAGAGAGAGAGTGAGAGAGAGCTCTTAGAGAGGAAACATCACTTGGCTTATTGCATCATTTCCAGTGCTTGTCAGTGAGCAAAATGTGTTGCCAAGAGTAAGCTCTATTGCCTTAAAATGAACTCCAGCCAAAAGCCCACACCCCGACTTTGTTTCATCTGGTGCCCA